CTGGTTCCTGGGGGCACGGCGCGTCCGCCCGCGGCGCGGCCCCGAGACGCCAAATCCTGCAAAAAAAGCCCTTTTCCTTGATGCTAGACTCACCCTGGTCCGTGGAGGCAGCAGCTCGCAGGAGCAGATACCACCTAGAAGAGCTTGAAAGTTGGGACATCTTCTACTCGCTCATTTTCCTTAGCTCCATTTTCCTATAATTCAGCCTCTTTTTCTATAACAGCTAGAAAGAAATACTAATGCTTCTCTGTAATGGCACAGACTCCTCCAGCCAAAGGTCCCGGAGGTTTTAGTCATCTTGTCTTCTTTCTTAGGGAAGCCGTGGCACAAAGCAGGTAAAGCAGTCAGAAGTAGCCTCTGATGCCGAGAGCCTGGGTTTTGGGACGACTAACTGGAGATTTGAGCCTGTTTCAGGAGCACCAGGTGAAGCCAATGACACTTACAGGGGCTCAACACTTCTAACTACGCTCCTAGTTTCACATTCCTTCCTTAATGAGTTAATGCATTAATCCTGGGGGGCAATTTGCCCCAGGTGACAGTTTCTGGAAGAGTAAGGGTCTCAAGATTTGAAAACATTGTACAGAGCAGAAACAAGGGCAGCATCACATCGACTGACTGCTTCCCCAGCGTGTATTCTGTCCCCCAGCTCAGTGCAGGCGTTCCTGTTGCTCCTTGGCACGAGCAGAGATGGTCACTACACGGCCCTGAGCTGCTCCCAGCTGAGAAATCACTGCTATTCAGCATGGGAGCAAGGTCAATGAAAACAAACCACACAGTTCGTTAGTGATATGCTCAAAGGTAGCTAATGACCCTCATTATTTCTCTTGTAGGAGCAGAAAGGACTATGTCCAGGCTCCTTTACATGCTCCATGCACTGCGAGAGCCACACAGACAAGTCCGAGGCAGCCCAGCTGGTACATCAGAGCCATCCCCATGCTGGTGCAGGGAAAGATTCTGGCCTTGCCCTCACAAAATCCTCCTCGGCAGGGTTAATCTCTCCTGCCTCTCCCCCCTTAGCTGACTGATTGCTTGAAATTACCATATAGATTGAGAAAGCAAGGCCTGTGATTTCACAAGAGCTTCTACCAGGGTCCTCCAAGCATCCAGAGACCCTCATCCAGTCTTCACCCCTGTCTGGAGCTGCTTTCCTTGGAGACCAACCCTGGCCTCTGCCTGATGAGAAGAGCAGCTTACATTTCCAATTTGAAAGCAAAAAGTCAGGCAAGACAGCAGCCTACACCAGCCACATCCCATTCCCCTCCCCTATCTCCCCTTCCTCTGTTAAATCCATTCCCCCTAAACCTGAAAAAAAAAAAAATTTGCTTCAGGGGCAACAGTCATCCCCTGCCCCACGCTGTCCAGCCCGAGATGCTCCTCCTGCAGCCCAGCCGGGAAAGGAGCGGTGGGCACGACCCCTGCATCCATCTGCTGCAGCAACTGCACCAGCCGCCCGCGCATGGTTAGTTCCCAGAGTCTTCCTGTCTGCCCCAGGCCGACATAATGAAGCGTGCATTGATTTCGTGATCGCACAGAGTAAGACATTGCCCTTTTCCCAGTCTCGCAGCGTCCTTTCTAACCCACACAGTTACAAGCAGTGTGGCACAACCTCCAGCCTAGGTTTGAGACACAAAAGCCCTGCTCCCCTTTTCCTTTAGAGCCAGGCTGAGATGACTAGCCCTGGACGCGGGACCAGCAGCACAGGCTCCCAAAACGGGAGCTACCTCTACCGCAAACCAGAGTTAGGGCACCTGGTGCCACCGTCCTGTGTCTGCAAACCACAGCAGTGCTGGCAGCGGGCACCCACGCAGCCCCGGGAGACAGTGGAGCCCCCCTTACACCGCTGTTGGCGTTTACCCATGAGCAGAGATGAACCACAGACCTTTCTCTCCACGGCAGACTCTCCAGCAGCAGTTTTGGGCAATCTGCTGTGTCTCGTGGTAACCGCGCTAAATGTCTCTAGGGTGCTTGCTGCTCATCATCGGAGCAGGAACTACACGGGGGGAAAAAAGAAGAAGAAAAACCCTGCAGAGCTCGAAGGAGCCTACAGCCCACGGCCAGAGCCCGAGCCCAACAGTCCCCTGGGAGGATGGGAGCACGTGTGCTGTGGCTTGAGAGAAATGGCATTTTTATCTACACAGGGCTGGGGAATGGAAGGGGAGCTACAAGAGCTGACAAAGCACAGCAGTGCCTGGTGAGGCACTGAGACGTGTCCAGAGCAGGGGCCAGGGGCAGCTCAGAGCCCCCGTGCTGGGGCAGCCACCCCTGTCCCCAGCCGGGTGCCGTTCAGGTCCTCCCTCCCCAAACACACACCTATTCAGGCTGGGGGCCGAGTCCCATCCACCCCGACCACTCACCTCCAAGTCGTAGCACGAGTCCCATCAGCCCTGCCCCTTGTCTGAGCTCTCAGGACAGGCTGCCAGCTGCTGCCCCTTCTCTCTCAGGAGCAGCCTCCAATTTCCATTTAAATTGAGATTTTAATGCTCCTTTTCCCCTAGTCTCTGTGTATCCAGGCTTAGTGAGTGGCTTCGGACACTTGAGTTGTGCCTGATGGGTCCTGGATACCTCTCCCTAGTTAATGATCTCTCTCTCCATGTAACCAGGCACCTAATGAGATAACGTTGGGATCCCGGTACCTCCATAGCAGCTGCCACAGCAGCAGAGGGACACTCAGAGCATTAAAGATGCCAGTTTGTTACCTTACTCCACAATCCAGCTCGCGCTGAATTGGATTTGAGCACCTATTTACTCAGCGTATTCTTCTCTAGACTGCTCAGCGCTGACAGCCTGAAAATCCACCCATCTTCACAACCTGTCTGCAGGGTGAGCCAGCGCCGCTGCTCCCAGTTCACCCACGGCAAAAGCAGAGCTCCAGAAAGTGAACTGGCTTACCCGGGGTTATAGGGCAGGACAGCAGAGCTAGCAACAGCACGCACAAGTCCTGACTCACAGTCCCTGCTCCAGGATCAGCCCCAGGTAGAAATTCGTTGCACTCACCTCTGAAATACAGGCAGAGGTGTAGCAGTACGCTGCACGACTTCAGGATGGTTGGAGGAGGATGCTTCCCGGCGGAACTGCAGAGGAGACCTGTGCAGGAAACCCATAGCAGGAAAAATAGAAACCCATTCTGAAGCAAGATAAACAAGGTGCATTTTTGCCAAAGCAAGCCCGAGTTACACCATTTTGGAGCTGTTGTCCATTTCCCAGACTGACCACAAAGACATCTGTAATGTGCAGAGGCCTGTTCCATAACCTGGAAATTTTAGGCTTAGCTCATTGTCACCACCTCGTTCCTTCCTGATGCAGATGCCAGGACGGTATCAGCCATCCGCGTGACCAGCCAGGCCGCAAGTCACAGTAAGAGGTCCAGCCGGAGGGAGCTGGTGTACTGCACCGTTGGCAGAGGACAGCCCCAGTGCTTTGGAGCTGGGGACTGTTGCAGTGTTCCCCAACACAAGTTAAATGCAGACAATAACTGGACAAAAAACCCCAAAGGATCATATCACCCTCTCCATTGTCTTTCTTTGGCAGGTTCACCCTGCAACTCATCATGGATAACAGCAATACATTGAGCTACTTGCTCTTCTCCACTCTCTTTACAAACAGTCGTGGATTAAGCCCCAGAACCTTGCCACAGGATAAGTATCAGTAAACTCTTCAAAAACAGGGAGGCCAGGACAGTACTGCTTTGAAAAAAGCTGGGTATTCTGACTCCATCTTGACACCAAGCCAGGAGTCCCAAAGTAAAGCACAACCATACTACACGTGCTACAACACCTGCTTTTAGCGTGGGAAATCATTATATATATATATATTGCAGCAACATTCAAATGAAATCAGTCACGTTGGGCCTCCTAGAAACGTGCCAGATGATCGTCCCCATCTCAGAACAACAACAACAACTCCTTCTCTAAGTTAGGCTCTACCGTCCTCCCAGAGCCAAAAAGCCCCGAGACTGTCACAGTTTTGACAACCAGCCACCACTGCCACACAGGGAGATGGTTATAAATGAAGTTGAGTCTTATCAGTGCTTTCCCAGAAAAATCCAAGCGTCGAACCTTGGAGATACGGTGAGCTCTGCTCCCCTCCCACACCGATTGTGCTGTAACTTGACTATAATTGGGCTCGATTTAATAATTACCATTACT